ATCAGTCTATCTTTTTTCACACTTCCTTGAAACTGTGTAATCTCTTTTCCAAGCCCTCCCCTCCGATGCCTGTTTTAGACTTTCTCGAAGTTCAGCTCAGTAAAAGTGTTCACATATACACATAATACATATACCTGTTCAAGAAAGAGAAATGTGGAGAATGGACTAGCCTAGATTAACAAGATGTGGAAACTGATTTATACTGGATTTCCATCATTATTGAGACTTTTTTCCCCCTTGCCTATTCTTTCTTTGGAGAGGAATTATCCTATATTCAGATTTACTTCTTTTGTGGCAAATAGCATAATTTCATCATTTTTCCTTGCATCTTTTCTCATATCTATCATTAGGAAATAGCTAATAATCAGCCACTTGGAGAGTTTGTGTACATTTCATGCAATTCAGATTAATTTCTCTTTGATGGAAGGATGCTGAAATCCATTTTCAGTATTTAACTATACATTTCTTGCTAAGTAATTTCACTGTGTTTGCTAAAGATGCCTGTGAGTGTGATAGTTGATATGATATGGAACAGAATTACTCAGAGGAGAATGACGTTCGTTTTATTTCTCTTAGTGATTCATTGTTTTATATCTCCGGATTGCTGTAGGTAGGAGTAACTTTAAACTCTCCTGCTACATTGACCTGATTTACAGAGTAAACTAAGCCATGATTTGCTTATTAGGGAGAAGCGTGGTGTACAATACTCATTTTAGGCCAAAAATTAAACATCCAAAATAAATGTATTAAGCCCAAAAGTTGACCATACCCATTCATTCCCTGAAGATATTGAGAAAAAAAATGATAAAACTGCAGCTCCCAGCAAAAAAAAAAAAAAAGAGGCAGATGCTTCCAAATTAGAATGACAGGCAAACTCAATCATTGGATTGCATCCAATGGTATCTGGTCACCTCAGGTCTGCTTTAAAAGCTTGGGGGTCCACAGGAGAACACTGGAAGGAGTTTGCATATATGACAATGGGTATTAGTCAGCATTTCTCTCTCTTTTTTAAAAAAAAATACATCTATTAATAATTTTACATAAACTAAAAGAGAAATCTAAAGAAAAGGAATGAAATATTAAGCAAGAAGTTCAAGAAAGAAACAAAAAGTTACAAAATATGACTTCAGACCTTTTCTTCAAAAGTTAATTATAATCTTGTATTAGATATATTAGATACTATACAAGTCCCTTCAGCCCTTCATTTAATTCCAAAGAAGTTCAAACCATACATCATCATGTTTTCTTTTTTCAGCAAAAGGCCTATATAAGGTTTGCAGTCATCAAAAAAAAAAAAAAAAAGATTTGGGTGGGTTCCCCCCCACCAGCTAGGTCAGCTTTGCCATTTCTGCAAATTTTTAAGAGTCCCTCTTTGAAGGAGATGGAAGGTTTAGAAAAATGAAATATAAATAAATACAATTTTAATGTGTTCACAATCTATTCTTCCACTTTGGGAATGTCATTGTTTTTCCATTGTTTAGCTAGCTTTTCTTAACTTTTTGTCCTTGAGACATGTTTGAGTTCAAGCTCCCAGCTGTTTTTGAGACATGTCGAAGAAAGTTATTCCTATTTGGAATTTGAGAAGCTGATGGGTGATCAGTAGTTGATCTGTTCTTATGGGATGTATATCTTACTGCCATTTGTTTTGTTTTGTTTTGTTTTTTGCTTAGATTATGTGTTATAGCTACAGTTATTTATATGGTTGTTTTAGTCCTTCAGTTTTGTTCCATGCCTAGACTTGCTTCCATAAGGGAGACAAAAATGGAATCCAAGAATTAAATAATTAAATGTTAATAGCGAGGACCCACTAAAAACATAGAGCAGAAATGCAAATAAAGATCTTTTCAAACATACTGTTGGTTGCAGAGATACAGAGATACAGGTACAGTGATGAAATGGAAAGGAAAAGGGAGGAATGGCAGGTTAAAAAGAATTGTAATTTTCAACTGATCCTACTACCTGCAGATGCTTAAGTGATCACATCTTTTAATGGAAAATTCCCCAGATGTCTTGTCACTGCAGGAAACTCTGAGATTGCTTTAGATTAGGTTGTATTCAGGCTTGTCTAATTTTCAGTGGATCTGAGGATTTAAGTGGGTGGTTACACCCATCAACATGAATTACAATCAATGCTAGACATAGGAAGATAGATTAGGAGTGGAGTGACATGCTGAGTAACATAGAATACTGGGGAAGGAACATATGGGCTAAAATTTCCCCCATATTTTATAAGTTTTTAAGTTTCTTAATAATACACAGGGCCTAAAATCTGCCACCACCACCAGATGCTTAATTCATATAATTGCAGGGATAAAAATTCAGAATTTAGAACATTTAATGTGAATTTAAAAATAATAGCAGTATTATGACTAATACATTTACATGTATTAACTGTATTTTAATGCATGCATTAACTGTATTTTAATGCAGTTAATGTATTTTAATGTATGTATTAACTGTATTTTAATGCATGCAAAATTGGGTGTAACTTTAAAGAATAGTGCAGAAGCAACAGTACAACTACATTAGTTTTATTGTAGAACTTTCCTCCAAAACTGAAAAGAAACCTCTTAGTTGATAAATTCAAAAGTCAGCCATTGCCTTAAGATCAGTTTTAAATGTAAATGTTGCTGATAATACAAATTCGGGTGCAACAGATCGTTTATAGGCCAACATCCAAAACTAAAAAAAACAACACCTTAGTTGATAAATTCAAAAGTCAGCCATTGCCTTAAGATCAGTTTTAGGTGTAAATGTTGCTGATAACACAGATTTGGGTGCAACAGATTTTTTTACAAGCCAAAATTGACAAAATCAATATATTTTATGTATCATTCCCCAAGCAGAAGTTGTGTCAGGCTTTTTTAAAGTGACAGGTCTGAATGCAGTAAGATTACAACAGTTTGTTCTGTTGGGGGTGCTGCAGAGGGGGAGAGGAATTAAAATTAAAAATAGTGATGTCACTACACACTATATTCTGTAAAGGGGGAAAAAAGCTTGTGACCTGATCAAGATAAAGAAACTTGAAATATGATATCAAAGTACTTAAATGTCCCCACTTTTTTTAATGGATCTTCATCCAAGATCCATCTGTCTTATGTGACATTTTTTGAAAAGGACTGAAATCTTTGATTTATTGTAATAGTTCTTATTAACTATTGTTAATAACAAAGGGGTTATTTGAAAGGTATGCCTCAGCTCTGCTTGGTTTATTTACTGAATACAATACTGCATAATCCTTATAAGGAAAAATGGGCATCTTAACCTCTGATAATGCAGGAGGATGGCAGTGTTCTAGCTTGTTTATAAATGCAACTCATGACAGGGTTCTTTCTTGTTGAAATGCAAATTAAAAACAGCAAGAAAACAAGGACACACCCTTACTAGGGCCCTTTAATTGTTAAAATAAGATTAGATTACACTAAGATGTACCCTATCTTTCTAGCATGCTTGCAAGTGAGCTTACCAACTGCAGCTATTTTTCCAACAAGTGAGCAAACACAGTGCCACAATCCTTTCAAGGTCTTTTCAGCTTCTATATTTAGAGGTCTCTCATTAATAAAATGTGAAAATATGCCTCCACTTTAAGCAGTCAACTTCTATCCAAGCAAGCATGTTTGCTGGATTAGGTGGCACCTTGACAAAATATATATCCACTTTGCAGTTTGTATTAGACAGATGAAGCTATTTTATAAATCATGGCTTTTTTTGGTATGACTTCACAGCAGTTCTTTATCACATATCATTATCATAAGCAATACACGCTGATTCCTAGGCTGCTTCTAGCGAATAATTTTAGGGTAGTCTTGCCTATCTTATTGGCAGAATTCTATGAGTTCAGAAGATGATGCCTTACTTTTCTGGCTATTCTGTATTTTTTTTCCATCAGGAAAGGCAATAGAATTGCTGTCTTCTGATTAGGAGAGTCCATAAATGCCGGCTAGTTTACTTTCATGTATTTATTTAGATTTGTATTCTGCCTGTTCCCTTTGGAAAGCAGAAGGCAGCTTCTAAGGGAATCTCCCTTTATTTAATCCTCCCATCAAAAACTTTGAAATAAGTTGGGCTGAGATTGCGACTTGGTGCAAAACCACCCAGTGAGTTTCCATGGCTAAAAATGGACTTGAACTCCGGTTCTTATGAACCTAGGCCTAACCTCCCTACCCAACACAGGCATCATGTTTATAAATCCTGGCGATTAAATTTAAGATTGCTAGCTAAGCATGCTATGCCAACTAGGACAATGGCCGTGGAGCATCTTGTTAATTAATTGAATGTTGGCTTCCTTGCATTCTTCTGTTGTTGGTTAAATAATTTTGGCCGAAATATATTTTGCATCCTGTGGGAAAGTTTTTTTTAAAAAATTGTTTAGATGATTGAAAAGAAGCTGGATAGCAAATCCAGCATACAAATGAACTCTTTTTTTCCCCCTCCTCAACTATGATAGTGATCATTCAATCTTTTCCTCCTAGGAAGAAAAAAAAAAATCAGCCCAGAGTACTTCATTAAAGCCAGCCAGTTATCCTCTGTCAGCCTCACTTCCTTATTAACGACGATGCCTCTTTATAACGATTCTGAGCCCCCCACCCCACCCCTCCCGCGGGCAAAAGAAATCCCTGAAGGGGCGGGCGGGGCGGGGAGGAAGGAGGGAAGGGGAGAGAGAGAGAGAGAGAGAAAGAAAGAAAGAAAAAGAGATGCCTGTTTGGAAGAGCCCGTCCTCATGTTTATATCATTTCCCCCTCGCACGGAGCCCAACGTCTGCAAGTTGACGAGGCGCAGCCACCGAGCCAATCAGGCTTTCGTCTCCTTGCCTCTGTTGTCATCAGCCTTCGGTTGCTTTGCTGCTCGGACTCCGAGAGAGAGAGAAAGGGAAAGCAAGAGGCAGATAAAATGCCAGCGTTGCTGGGCTGCCTCTCGGGATGACCTCTCTCCTTCGAGGATGGGCATGAAACAGCGGCGCGGCCCGGGGGCTGGGTGGGGGGAAGCCGCGCAGCCCAACAACTGAACGAGGCAGCCTGAGCTGAGTCGGACTGGGCCTTTCCCCCCGCCTTGGCAATCCCAGTGGTGTCTGTGGCCCGGGGGCGGGGGGTTTCCTTTTTTTTTTTGCCTTGAAAAAGGGGCTCTTTGGATTATCAGACCTCCATGTATGACAATTTGTACCTGCATGGATTTGAAGACTCTGAGGCGGTAAGTCCTTCCTTCCTTTCTTCCTTGCCTCCTTCCTTCCCTGCTTCCTTCCTTTCTTCCTTCCCTGCTTCCTTCCTTTCTTCCCTGCTTCCTTCTTTCCTTGCCCCCTTCCTTCCTTCCCTCCTTCTTTCCTTGCCTCCTTCCTTCCTTCCTTGCCTCCTTCCTTCCTTCCTTTCTTCCTTCCCTGCTTCCTTCTTTCCTTGCTTCCTTGCTTCCTTCCTTCCTTCCTTCCTTCCTTCCTTCCTTCCCTGCTTCCTTCCCTGCTTCCCTGCTTCCTTCCTTGCCTCCTTGCCTCCTTCCTTCTTTCCTTGCCTCCTTCCCTCCTTCCTTCCCTCCTTCCTTCCCCTCTTTCTTCCTTCCTTCCTTTCCCTCTTCCTTCCCTTTCGGTCTTTTGGTGCGTCCCCCCCCTCCTTTCTTCAGCAATAACAAAGTAAGCAGAAGGGAAAGGATATCCAAGAACTGGGCTCTTTCTTGGTGGGATGATGGCAGTGCATCTGATCTGCAGGCACCTAAACTAATCCCAGGTTATGTAATTCTTCATTCAGCATCCCTGAAGGAAAAGAGAAAAAAAGCAGGGGTGGAAAGCATTTGGTTGACAGACTCTGCACCCCAGATGCTCAAGGCAGGCTGGGGGAATGCATCCCGGGGTTTTCTAATTTGGAAAAACGTTGTTGCCTTTGGGCCACTATGATCGACATCTAAAGGAATATGGGAATGGTGCACATAATGCTAGTACCCTCTCTGCTTTGTTTAAGCAGACTGTTATTTTCCTGACCTGATTCCCCCTCTCCTTTTTTTTTTCTACCTAGCCAAATAATCAGTGTAGATCCATTTGCTTTTCTTGAACAAAGAAACAGCACAAGTGGTTGGTGTAATGCAATCCTGTAACATCACAAAAACAGTACGGATGCTTCACTGGTCTTGTCATTTTATGCAATGTTGATAACCTGCTCTCTTAAGCCAGGATAGGCATTTATATTTGTCCAGAATTGATTGCCAGTTATCTGAAAGCCTGTGCTAGTTGGAAGACACTTGAATGTAGATTGGAATAAGATAATTGAGGACTATAAAGTATAATACTGCCTTAGTCAAAATCTTTACCTCTACAGTTTAAAAAAGTCCTTAGTCAAATGTTTTCTCTGGACAAAGAGAAAAGTGCTTAGATTGACACAATAGGGTACATTCTGTTCCACATTAAAGGAATGTGTTACATAAGGTTTATTGCAAAGGCATAAAAATGCAAAGATGTATCAATAGGGACATTTAAGAACAGCACTGATAAGATCCATCTGGAAATGGACAAGTTCTCATGTATTTTGCAAATGTCCCTGTTGCTCTAATGCTCTTTGGAATACAGCTGCAGAGTACTGCATTTTGAGATTGATTCAACCACCAATATTTGTTATTTTTACAATTTTTCTAATAGGAAAGTTGAAATTCAAAGTAAGTTAACAAAATATCTTTTGACTTTTAAAACTTGCTGTTTGATTTATTGATTTTATACTGGCATTTCTGCATCGGGCAGGTATTTTTTTCCATAATGTATATTTTCCCAAACTTCCCTGTCAATGCATTATTTTTTAAAATGATGAGCTAAGGTTTGTTAACACATTTGTAACTTTTTTCAAAAGAAGGCAAGAATTTTTTGGAAGAATGACTGGCACTGCAGAGATATACCAGAAATATTTTTAAGTGAAGTAGCCAAGCTCAGTGGGTAAAATTTCTGGTCTTGAATTGAGTGCACCCGGATTTCTGGATTGCTCATCCTTAGCTCTGCAGATGGACTATAACCCCTTCATGTCAGGTTCATTTCCCCCATTCAAAGTGTAGCAGGCACAGAAACTTCTCATTCAAGATTGTTGTGTGAATGAATGAAAAATTGCTGTGAAAAAAACCCTGCAACACAAAATATGTTGAACAAGAAAAAAAATAAAACCAGCTGTGGTACAAAATTTCTACGTGATTCACTTTAAACACTCAGCCAATACCTGCTGGTTTGTGCATGGACTAAAAATAGTCTGCTTTGGCCAAGATAATAATTTCCTTCTCCTGGATGTGGAAGGAGCCGCACTTTGTTGCCCAAAGTTCATGCTTCTTCCAGAGAGCCTTTAACATTTGCATAGCTCATGCTATTGCCAGCAGAGTGTCAAGAGCACTTGCTGGACATGGCCGATGATGTGATAATGCTAGGGTCATTGCGTGAAATAGATTATTTATGCTTAAAATTGATGTGTACATTCTGGATTGGGAGAGCAATGATGAGAGTAGGGAGAGGTCTGTTGAATTGGTGTGGGAGAAGACCACTGTATCCCTCACTGCACTGGGATTTTTGTCCTTGTAAAACATGCCTTTGTGGGTATGGGTGTTTTTAAAGAGCTTTCCAAGATGATTTCAAACTGATAAGGATTCCATAATCTCCCTTACTTAAAAAAGCCTGTTTTAAGCCTTTTAAGATTCTGAGAAGTTATTTGCCAGCAAAGAGCAGCCTGCTTGCATTTCTATTAAGCCAAAATTGTGACCTGTTCAAGGGAATATTAATTGTATATGAATCTTCTTTCTCTTCCCCCTTTTTTTCTTAAAGAGAATGTTTTAGGGCAGAAATTGAATTATACTGCTCATGCTGCATTAATAATAATGCAGAAGAATATATAACTCCCATTTAGTGAATATTATGTTCAAAGTTGAGGCCTCTATCACTGAGGTGGTATTCTGCAAAAATGGGCTGGTAAGAACTTTTTAAAAGGAATTGTACAATGCATTATATATGTGTCTCACTTAAAATGTATGAGTTAAGAGGTTGTAAACAATTCTGGGTTGGTAGAAATCTAAACAAAGCAACCAAATTGCTCAGCTGGGTTTTCATGTATAAAAATACAAAGACGTGTATTGAAATTGGGTTTTTTTGTTTGTAGGAAGAATATCTGTGACTAAAGACCCTCACATTGTAAGATGAATAGGTTGGAATGACTCAAGACTAGTACGGAAATTTTTACTGCAGTATGCCTTATAGAATCTAGGTTGCTCAAGTTTGATGCCTGACCCATGCTGCTATGCTGTAATTTAATGAATGAAATGAGGATTTTGAAGAAAGTCAAAATGTAATTTGAAGATTTTTCAGATTCCAAATTAGTCTTGGATGGAAGGACAATTTGTGGAGATAGGTACTAATTAATATTTCCCACCTGTCATAATTTTTTAATGAGCAGTTTTGCATGTATACCTCAGGCAAGCACAGAAACATCTCATTCAAGATTGAGAACATTGGGAAACAAGTACTGTATCCATGGCAGGTGGTAGGATCTTGCTCACCTTGGATGGTTAGTAGTTGGACAGGGAACCAACTGTAAAATCAAGATGTGTTAGCTACTCTGGAAAGTTGAAAAAAAAATCTCAGAAGAGGAAAGTGGCTAGCTAATTCTGGAATCCTGCCCAGAAATCTGCATGGAAGTCTTTATATAGTCAGAAAGACTCAAGCTGAATTCAGGAGAATGTTTATTTTTACCTTATACTTTGTTAGTGAAAGAAGCTCGCTCATATTTCATGTCAGAAGAAAGTCTAATTTCTTTCAAAGATAAACAATAGAAAAAAGGTTTGATCATTTAAGAATATTAATCATGTTTTTATTTATGTTTATTTGTAAAGTAATAAGTGTAGATAGCTAATAAATGTAGATAGCTATCTAAATAAACGTAGGTAGCAATAGCACGTAGATTTAAAAACTGCTTTACAGCTCTTTTGAAACGGTTTACAAAGTCAGCCTATTGTCACCAACAATCCGGGTCCTCCTTTTTCTCACTGCGGAAGGATGGAAGGCTGAGTCAACCTTGAGATTGGTGAGATTCGAACTGCCAAATTGCTGGGAGTCAGCAGTCAGCAGAAGTCACCTGCAGTACTGCATTCTATCCACTGCACCACCATAGCTCTTATTTGCTTTATAAGATCCTGGTCTTATTTGCTTGATGTTCTGGCCCAGAACATCATGGAGTCTTCCCATTACAGTTCTATGCTGTGACAGTCATAAAATGGGTTGGTCACATGACTGACTCAGTTTTACAACTTTTTTTTGGGTTGCTATTGTTAAATAAACCAATAACAGCAAACCTGTAATAAGTTGTGGTCCTGTGACTGTGGGATACCGCAAATGACTAAGTGAGGCAGTATTGCCAAGATCCCAAATCTCAAGTCACATGACTTTGGAGGGAGCCCAACTGTTGGAACTTTGAACCTGAGTTGTAAGTTCTTCTTTTCAGGTCCGTTGTAACTCTGAAGTGACCAGTTGTAAGTTTGGACTGCCTATATATAGTGCAGTTCAGAAAGCCTTTTGAAGCATGTCTAGCCTTCAAAGGCATGAGTAAAGACATGCTTAGAACAAAAAAGGAGTTAGTCCGGCTCAAGGTTGACTCAGCCTTGCATTTTTCTAAGGTCAGTAAAATGAGGACTCAGGTTGTTGGGGGCAATATCCTGACTCTAAACTGCTTAGAGAAGGTGCACTATATATGAGGCGGTGTATAAGTAACAGAATAACAGAGTTGGAAGGGACCTTGGAGGTCTTCTAGGCCAACCCTCTGCTCAGACAAGAAGCCCTATACCATTTCAGACAAATGTTTGTCCAATCTCTTCTTAAAAACGTCCAATGGAACACCCACAACTTCTAGAGGCAACTTGTTCCACTGACTAATTGTTCTAACTGTCAGGAAATTCCTCCTTAGTTCTAAGTTGCTTCTCTCCTTGATCGTTTCCATCCATTGATTCTTGTTCTGCCCTCGGATGCTTTGGAGAATAGCTTGGCTCCCTCTTCTTTGTGGCAGCCCCTGAGATATTGGAACACTGCTATCATGTTACTCTTAATCCTTCTTTTCATTAAACTAGGCATACCCAATTCCAGCAACGCTTCCTTATATGTTTTTGCCTCCAGTCCCTTAATCATATTTGTTCTTCTCCGCATTCTTTCTAGAGTCTCAACATCTTTTTTTTACATGGTGGTTACCCCCCCACCCCAA